TTTTAATATGTTAACTTATAATATGCATACGTATCTTTCGGCGCAGGAATCAAAGTCCTTGTAATTCTCGTAGTTTACTTACCTTGATGAAAGAAAATGACAGGATGCTTTGTTGAACCGACACTATAGTAGGTCTCGTAGACGTCTTAGGTTCCGGCGGTTTCACTAGTACTTGTAAAATCAGATGTCTCTTCGTATTTATCCTCTTTGGTAGTTAGCATCAGTGTTTTAAATACCGTACAGGTGGCCATACCGGTCTAGCCACCAATACGCGATATTACCGGTCTGACCGGTAATATCGGCGGTATTACCGGATTAACAAATATAATGCTATATATAAATATACATAAAAATATATAATGCCAAATGCAAAAAAGTAAAAATATAAATGACCATAATCATTAATTTCGACTTCTCAATAAGATGAAAATAAATATTTTAACTAACAATTTAAATTTTATTATTTTAAATTAAAAAAATTTATTTATTTTTTATTTTTTTATTGACCGGTATTTTAGACCAGTATTTTGCGGTTTTTACGGTATAATCCCGGTACAAACCGGTATAACCGTAAATCCGGTATTTGGTATTACTGAAATTACCGGTACGGTACGGTATTTAAAACATTGGTTAGCATGACCATTTGCATCATTTGTTCGCCCTTCTTCCAATCACACAAAAGCATTTGAGCCTTCAGGTTTTCTAGCGTCAACCTCAACTGTCTTGCATCGTGGGTATATCATCCCCCACTAAATGCATGTTCAACTGCCACTGCTGGGGTCGGGACAACGAAAATCTCCTTGGCCATCAAACATGGAATAGATAAATTGTATTGTACCACCAATTCAAGACGAGGTAATGATCTAGCTCAACCTATCCAGTTCCCATTGCCCTTGGGATCTGAGCATGCTTGTAGAGATTAAAATTTGACTACCAGCCACCAAAGTTTGAGGCTTGTAGCGTCGTTTGCCCTATTATCCATAAGAAGAAGACCCCGGAGCATGAGAAGAAAACGACATTAGATTTTTCTCGAGTTCGATTGTTGTTTCCCTAAACAATTCATGCAATAATTTTTTGTTTATTCGACAAGCAACCGGGAGTTAGGTCTTTCACTGACAATCGGGATATCACCATGAAGTAGGAGTTGATATATCATAATATGTGTGAAGTTTGTTGAACAAGTCACTTTCATGTAGTGACAGATCTAACAAACATACAACTAAAATATCAGGAAAGGAAAAAAAAAATATTTTAACTATTTTTTGAACATATCTCTTCTTCGTTGTGTTGGTAAGGATTCTTAACAAAAATATATTTAAAACCCCAGTATTACGGCTACACATTGATTTTGGATAGGTTGAGAAGTATGATAGTAAGCACCGGAAAGTATGTTAATAGCATTTTGAAATTTTCCTAATAAATCTATAAATGCTTGACAATTTTGCTAATCATCAACACTAAACAGTTACATCACAACTCTTACGTTCATAAATTGTAATGTCCTAGTCGAGGAGAAAAATCACAAGTTTTGATTAATATTTTATAATTTGAGTTCCACCGGATAGAAACGTATGATTGGAATTTTTTAAGCGTAAAACTTCATCTTGACAAATATTTTCCATTTTTTTTTCATTTCTTGAGGTCGACTATATAAGTAAGTAACAACCTACCTAATGGGTGTGACCCACTCTTTTGAAGCATGATAACTCGCTTGAACACAATGATTAAGTACATGACACATACATCGAATATGAAAAAATTTTCTTCCACAAAAGGGACGACAAATATCTTTAAGCTCAGTTATAGATGCATTATTAGTACTAGCGTTACCAAAAGAAATGGATTTATTTTTTACCAGTTCTATAAGTATTCAAGACATGTTAAATTTAATGAGCAATATTAGAAACAGTGTGAGTGTATTAAATCCCGTGTTGTAGCAAATTATATTTTTACCGAGTACCGAATCTAAAGATTTGTTCCCGGGTTAATCTCTCGAGGAAGGCGGTTCGGAATATTAATTTGATGTTGATCGCACACAAAAGAAAAATAAACCTAAACATTCTAATTCAAGAAGGAGGATTGAACTAACAACTAAGACAACTCAGAAAATGCAAAATAAGAAATCAACTCAGAAACACGAAGCAAACAATTAATGGTAAAGAGGCTAGGGAGTCGGGGATAATTTATTCTAGTTTTAGACGCAAAATCGGACAATTAATTGTTCGGTTCAAGATTGACACTCTCGCCGAACATCTAGTAGTTCGCTCCCAGTAACTTTTCGTAACAAGGCTTTGATCATAGATGAACAAGTTCAAGCATACAACATCGGACTAGAGTCTGATCCCAATAACTCTCGTAACAGGGGAATGGATGTAGACGAGCATGCATTTCAATCCAAAACCTATAGACTATTCTTTTATGAAATCATCTATCTCATGCAAGCCTAGGTCTACGACTTTCTCCCTTTCGGCTCTAAAGTTGTTTAATTAATTTAGAAGATGATTAATCGACTAATCATTTAGAATGAAAAAAAAAACCCAACTCAAAAGAAAAATATTCAATTGTCACCAATTGTAGATTGAAGTGTTATTCTTCGATTATATTCAACTTTCAAGCGTGAAATTCACAATCCTTTTCAAATCAACTCGCACGAGAATGAACAAATCAAGGCCCGACAAGTACGAACGAATAAGAACAATTATCCCCTATCCCTAGCAAATAGATTTATCTATTTATATTGAATTTAACACACATAATCACATTAACCCAAGCCATCAAATTCATAAATTAAATGAAAAAAAGTACTTGTGATTAATACAAAATAAAGTGACGAATCCGAACTACAATCTTAATCTGAAAACAAATCTTGGAGTGTTTGTTAATGTTATATACTGAAAGTTTGGTTTTAGATGATATTACACTTTTACCCTTTATGAATGAGAAGAATGTTAGATTAAACAAGTTTTACGTTCTCGTGTTTTGCAATTAGATAGAGTGGGTCGTCATCGGGTGAACCGAAGATCATTCTATCAGTTACTTGCGAAACAAGAATAGATGGAAATGAACACCCCATCCAAACGGTTGTAGTGTTAATGGTACAGTTTGTCTTAACTGATTAGTTGTACTAGTACATTTATGTGTTGAACATGATCCCACAGAGGAGAAGTTCGTTTTATACTGATCATTGTAAACGAACTAGGCCTCGGTTAATTACTGCATTCTCTTAACTCGTAAGATATTAAACAGACATATATATGCAGTAGATATTATTTTTATTCACATGGGTGACGTTCATTTCACTGAATTAATATTCCTACTGTCTTTGGTAATATTGTTGTATATATGATGTGTTGTTAGGATATTTACGGTCACCATGTACATTTAGTTTGGTGATGTCCCCGGAGTGAGTTTATGAATTATTATGCTAAACCCTGCAGGTGGATTTAATTTCGACATAGTAATAATGTGATGAACGAGCGTTAGCTTCTGTGAAATAATCATATATTAATTAATTATTGGTTATCATTAATCGAATTAATTAATGAACATTATATCTTAAACAT